CACCACTCCTCACACAGGCATAGCAGTGATCACCATCGCCACAAGCGGTCGGCGTCCTCGGCTCACGATGGATCATCCTCAGGCGGCGACAAGTCAAGCCATCACGATCGGCACAGGTCCAGGAGTGACAAGCGGAAGTCCAGATCTTTGTCTACTTCGCGACGAGAGTTGAAACACCCGGCGGAGGACGTAGAAATGCATGATGCCAGTGAGTACGTCCCGCTGCCGGCGAGCTTCACCGCCTCCGCCGGATCTTCTCCTTCACAGCCGATGGTTGATACCGACGACAGCTTGCCTCGACGTGAGAAGCGCGTGAAGCTGGGCTGGGGCATGGGTCTGAACTCGGAATCATAGTGAGGCAACCTCTGCATTAGTTAGGGTAGGATGCCAACATGACTTCACGCACGCCGACAGGGAGCACCATAGAGAACAACACAACCGCATCAGCAACTGCAGTACCGCAAGTCGCGTGCAAAGGATCAAATAGACTCTATTTGTAAGCAAAGTGAGCTCTGTGCAGTATGTGCATGATTCCCACGGAGTCTCAACCAGCGCTGCTTACGCGAACAGACTGCCGAAACCTGTGTCGAGGCACCTCTCGTACGAGTCACGGCGGCGAAGTTTCTCCTGCCCCTGTCGGTGGCGGCGGTACCAGCTCGTCTCGGCAGCGTACTCCACCTTCTTCGTCTCCGGTCCCGCGTTGCCGCTCTCTGCTTCTTTCAGTCGCACGGCCAGCTCCTCAACAATGTCGACCATCTCGTCTTGAGACTTGGCATTGGCCAGCGCACCGCGCAGATCTGAGTGCACGCGCAGGTCCTGGAACAGGATCTTGAAGAGGTACGATCTTGTCGCTCGCAGCCGGGTACAGCGTCGCGCACTCAAGGTACTGCCTGGCCAGCGCCAGGAAGGACGTGTCCTCGCCAGGTTTGTTGTTTGTGTCGGCGAACAGCGCCGGGTTCTCCAGCAGCCCTTCGGAGCTAATGACACCGTCACAGCCCGTGGCCTCCATGCAGCACGCGATGTCCTCGTGTGTCTCGATGCCTCCGTTGGCGATCACAGGGATCGTCAGCCGCTCCTAGATGCGGCGGATGATGTCCCAGTCCACCTCCCGCACCGCCGTCTTGTTCATCTCCTTGGTGCGGCCGTGCACCGTGAGCAGATCGCAGCCGGCCTTCTGCAGCATGTCGGCGAACTCGAGCGTCTCGTTGTCGTCCGGGAAGACGCGGATCTTGACCGTCACGGGCACGTTGAGGTTGGCGCTCAGCGTCTCGACGATGGACCGTGTCCTTGTCGTGCATGAGGAAGGAGCCGTAGTTGCCCTTGCGGGCGATGCCCTGCGGGCAGCCGAGGTTGAGGTCCACGGCGTCGCAGTGGCCCTCCACCATCTTGGCGGCCGCCAGCACCGTCTTGTCGTTGCCGCAGAACTGCACGACCAGCGGCCGGTCCTGGATGTGGCGCTCGAACATCTTCTCGCGGTACTCGGCGCTCTCGGCGAACAGGCGGCTGTGCAGCATGGGCGTGTAGCAGCAGTCGGCGCCGAGCTTGCGGCACAGCATGCGGAACGCCAGCTCCGACTGGTCCACCTGCAGCAAAGCAAGTAAAGAGTCGTAGTCAGTTGACACGCTTCAATGAGGCTTAAAGAGTCGTCACGCGGCGGAATTTCTCCGTTCCAACGCGGAAATCGCTGACGGTTGAGAGTCGTCACGCACCATGGGCGCCACGATGCGCTGCGGGGAGCCGATGGCGCGGTAGAAGTCGTAGCCGCGCAGCTTCACCATGCTCGAGGTCGAGTTGTCGGGCAAGTGTTCCGACGCGCATTGGACGTTATCGCGTATTTTCAGCCAGTAGGAGGCAAGTTACCGTTGCCCACTCTAAAACCAAGAGCGAAGCCTTTCACAACGGGAATCAGCCGCATCAAACCGCGGGTGAGCCAAGTGCGCCAGAGACCATCACTCTGCATTCCGCACTCCGGCGCTAGCTCCCGCACCGCATTCGACGCCCGCCCGCAGCGGCAGGAGCAAGCAAGCCGCCAAGCCGCCCGCAGGCGTCCGACGGAAGGAAGATCGCGCCTTGGGCGACAGCGCCGCGGCCTTATGGGAGAGCGAGCTGCTGCGCGCGCGCCAGTGGCTCGCGGCTCGGCGCCGCGACGAGCAGCAGGAGCGCGAGCAGCTCTTCCAGCGCGCCAAGGCACACATCGGCTTCAAGGACCACCAGTGCTCGCTGCAGAGCGACGCCGTGGCCAGCGAGGACGAGGACGACGCCCTGGCGCTCGACTTCTTGGGCGACGTGGACGCCTCCGACATGAGCGCGCTGCTGCAGGCAGAAGCGGCCAAGGCGTCGGCCTCCGTGCCGCATGTACAGGTCGGACCACCCCTGGAGACGCGCATGCCGACCGCCGCAGAGCTCATGCAGCCGCTCGCGATGCTGTCGAACCTGGCGTCGCCCACGGGATGAGCTCAGAGGAAGAGCAGCGCGAAGCCCTCCGAAGGGCCAAACAAATAACTAATAGCGACAGTGAAAGTGAAGACGACTTCAGCAGCGACTACTCTCCAGCGGAAGAAGAAGAGGTTCCTGAGCCGGACGAGCCTGAAGTGGTGGACCTGCTCAGCGACGACTACCTGGACAGTGACGAAGATACGAAGCCTGTAAAGCGGAAACGAAAGCGGCTGTGCCAAGCAGCGTCGATGCAGAAGAAAAAGAAACCACGGTCCCGCAAGCCAGCCGTCACACGGAAACTGAGTCAGCAAGATAGCACCACAAGGAGGCCCCACTTCAAGCAGAAACCCCACCAGTGCAGGCACGAGTTGGTTCGACAGCGAGCGAAGCGTATCACACGGTAGCTACGACCAAAAGTGTATCGACGGAAGTGTCAGATAAAGATGCATCAGGGAATTCGAATCATCCGATCGAAGTTTCATCCAGCGAGGATGAAGCAAAAGACAATGATAAAAGCAGTACCTCGACAACAGTAAATGGTACGCAGGAGAAGGTGGTGGACGTTGATGTGACGAAGGAATCGACGATTGTGCGCTTGAAGATCCCTGCAGACTGTTCAAGATGCTTCGCGAAATACACAGCAAATGCGAACCGTCGATGCAGAAGTGGACAAGGTGCCTTCAGAAGCTCATGGCAGAGCTGACAACGTTGCTACAGTTGCTCCGCTTGGATCTGCTTTGCATCAAACCACCGCTGGCCGACAAGATGCAAATCAGCCAGACAAGGAGGAAGCCACCCAGCAACCGGCGGATTCGAGTGATGGCGATGCTGATCTTTCGGACACCGGGACCCTTGATTTGGAAGAAGAAGAATTGTCACTTGGGAATGAGGACAGTAACGCTGGTGAAGAGGCAGCTTCACTCGAAGTGAAAACTGGCAGTGACGCTGGTGGAGCGCGGGAGGAAACAGTAAAGAGTGTGGATACTGTGCCGAAGAATGCTGACACTGAAACTAGCGCTGAGAATGTGGAAATGGAGGATGAAGACGTCTCCGAAGCTGAAACTGAGATTTTGGAAGCCGATGAACCGGACACAGACGATCTCGGACTCGAGTACAGTGATGACAGCGATGCTGACGATAAGCCTGCGGACAGCAAAAAGAATGGGACAGGTGGGGAAACGAAGGCTCGGAGCGACAAGAAGGATAGAGCTGCCCCCACGCAGAAAACATCCGAGGCTGGGGATGCTGGTGACAGTGGAAAGTCAATGAATGGCAAAAGTGGTGATAAAGCGGTTGATTCTTCGACAGCTGGAGTACAGCAATTCTTTGATTTCTCGCCATTGAAACTGAAGCCCAAGGCGAAGACTACGACGACTACAGCGCCAAAGCCATTGCCAGTGCACGACTACACTGAGACCCACGCAAAGAAGGGAAGTAATGATGCAAAGAAGGCAACAGTCGAGCCAAAGCAAACACCGTCGCCGGACAAGCCATCGCTTGGATCCAACGGACTTCGTCCCAGCAAGAAGCCCATCGCAACGTCAACCGTCATGAAGGGCAAGTTTGCCGTGACAAGACGCAGTACGAAATGCTCGACCCTGAGGATACCCCTGGAGCCAAACGACCACACAAGAACCACTACACGATGGTGCCAACGAAGAAGTTTAATGGTTTGAATGCCGCAAAGGACCTTGACGATGTGCCGTTGACACTGTTGGCGAGAGAACTGTCTAAGAAGACAGAGGAGAAATCCAACGCCAGATATCTCGCGTATGCTGGTGCCAAGAAGACCGAGGATGACCTAGCTATGCAGGCGAAACAACTCGCAATGTCCCGAAATCCCGCTTTGGCGGGGGCAGCGAATCTAGTTCGACAACACAAAACTCTTCAGCTGCAGCAAATGGGCAACCATCGCAGATGAACGATAAGACCGCCTCTCGAGGCGGATACAGGCTAGAGCCACAAATAAGTATTTATGATGCGCTGCACATGGATGGACAAGAGAGTGCTAGCGATATTCGCGAAGGGACCGGCTATAAGCGTCCCAGTCGCTTTAAGAAGATGCAGGAAGAAGCAGCGCGAAATGGCACCCCGATGGTTAAGAGCCGGCTGCAAGATACAGATTTGGATAAACTTCCGATCCCAGAGAAGAAGAAACAGCCCCCACAGGCGGGGAAAGCTGAGCAGGATACAAAACCTTCACGAGCAAACGACTATGGATCTAGAAGCACCCCAGGGAAAACTCAAAACAAACGTCGCAAGAAAAGCTCCGGGCCACCCAGCAAAAACTCCGGACCAAGTTACTACGGTCCTCAAGCTTCTCAATCATCTACGCCAGATAAGTATGAGTCGCCATCGCGTGGGCGTCGTGGTCGGGAAAACGGTAGCTACAGACGCGACGACGATCGTAGGAGGAAGCGATCGCCATCACCGCCATCTCGAGAGCGTGATCGTTACAGCCGAGACAGCAAGTTCCGTGATGATCGTAGACGAAGAGGGTCGTCACGCTCTCGATCTCGTTCTCCAAGCCCCCGAGGTCGAGACTATGGTAGTAATCGTTACCGTCGCCGCTCGCGGTCAAGATCATGGTCAAGAGAGAGGCCGAGCGAGCATGATCATCGCCGTTCGGAGCAAACCGTTTCGAGTAGCCGCGATCGGGACCGAGATCCCCGTATAAATCGTCGATCCCCTTCGTCGGATAAGCGTGACTCCAGCAAGAAGAGCGTCGATAAGCCGAGTGATCCGCCTGAGCTGGGTGAAGTTTGTCGAAACGGGAAAATTGACGAGAACAATCGTCTTGCGAAGAAGCAGAAATTATCACCTCGTGAAGACGTCCCTCCTTCACCTGGCGCTCTGGCAACGTCCGATGACGATGGTGACATGTTCATTTCAGACTCGGACGACGACGGCAACGCTTTTGTTAAGGAGGTCGAAGACATTCGCTTTGACCTGGATAGCGTACCAGTGGACGAAGATTTGATGGTGGGGCAGGTGTATGTGACCGGGGTAAATCCCACGGTGTGCGCTGAGCAGATTGAGGAGGACTTCGCACGTTTTGGTGTTGCGGTAAGTGCCTGCGGATGGTTTTTTGGCGGGTTTTGATGTGCTAACTGACTCTGAATTGAAGGTTGATCGAGACACTGGGTTTCCAGCAATTGAAGTATTCCCCAGCCAGCGCACTCATCTTGGGCGTGGTGACGCATGTGTGACGTTTGAAACCGAGGAAGGGGCCGAAGAAGCAGTGGAAGAACTCAACTGTACGTTATTTCGTCAAATGTGGGTGCCACTTTGCTGGTGAAGTCGATTCTGATGGGAGCACTTGTTTCTTGCCTTCTTTATAGCAAAAAATGCCAAGAACTCAATGATCCGCGTGCTCATTTCCGCCATTAGCGACTCTGGAGCGCCCTCTGACAGCCTCAGCACGTTGCCTCTCCAGCTACCGTGGAGACCGTTCAGTCGTGGGCAGTCAACTTCACGTGGAGTCCAATCACCGAACCCGATAACAGCCGCGACTGCCACGCCGTTCTTCGAAAGTATCCCGGAGGAATTTGCCCAAGTGTTGGAGGAGAATATGGGCACCAAGGTTACCGCTGCATTGTCTTTCGAGGCTTTGCTATCGGACGCGTGTTCATTCTTCCGCCCCGCCACCCAGACAGCGGGACCATGGAGGTGGACGTCAGTGCCTGGCGCGCCATTGTGGCCCCTGGCCAGTCTCGCGAACGGACCCATGGTCTTATTCGCAAGCAGGTATTCCAGATGCCGTTGAGCGGAATCCCCGGCGTTGAAGTTGTTACGGTGGAGGATTTCCAGTACTACGCCCTTGTGAAGGCTTGGAACGAAGGACCTCCGTTGTCTACCACAAGCCACAGCACAGACAGCAGTCAGGGAGAGAAGAGAGGAAACGTGGGTACTGAGAGTGGCCGAGGAGACAAAATGGGAAACTTCATTCAGTGCGTCGGTGGGTCTCAACCGCTGTTGCTGGGTCGGGATAAAAAGCGCCCGCCGTCCGGCCTGACCAACGAGGCGAAGGCTCGTGACTTGAAGCCTCGCCCTTCGAAGCTTCGACGTCTGGAGTTTGGTATGAAGCTTTTCGTCCCCGCGCTGCCTGAAGGATCTCAGTTTTCGGTGCGTTATGTATTGATTGCTATGAATTTCTCTATTGTTGTGTCTCATCACAGTGTTTGTTTGTATGGTGCAGATTGAAGTTTTGGCGATTGTGGAGCCCGCTGAAGAGGACACATCCGACAACGTCCTTCGGATTCTCTTCGTGTCACCCCCGCGCCATCGCCACCCGCACACGCGGGCGCACGCTGTTGTCAACCCGCACGTGATTGCCGGCGTACTGCGGGGACTGAAGCAGATCTGGAAGCAGGTGGCCCACACGATGATGGAAATCTGCGACGCCAACAGCGACTACGTGGTGCTGCCTCATCAACTGCAGCCGCCAGGACACTCGCCTCAGGGACTGGACGAACAGGAGCTGTACCTGCTGCAGCAATCGCGAGCCAACCCCGATTTGCCGACGCACGACGAATTGGCATCCAAGCTCATAGAAGCGATTGCTGCTACTTGATACACTTCCGAATGGATGTAATGCGTCGTTGGCCCACAAAAGTTCATAGTACTGTACATGAGTTGGTTGATGTCCTCCTATCGCAGATCGGCATTTTCAGCTTTCAGAGTCTGTGAGAAGCATGCGCTTCTACGTTGCTGTTGATCTACGTATTAAAGTGGTCGACATGTACAGTAGCAGTTTGTACCGACGGTACATGACCGCTCGCAATGAAAAATCCCAAAGCTGTGCAAGTGCAGTTAATGCTTGAGGCAACAAATACTATTTTAATAGATTATTTACTGGAAGGTCACGAAAAACCGCCATTTGCTATGCTAGTCAAAAGTCTTTTAAATTCGTTAGGTCATTCTACATGGGGATAAATAGTTCTTCGGATAGCCCTGCGTGTGCTCTAAATGATAAGTAATTGCACTCGGGAGAAAGAACATTATTAAACGCAGAGCATGCTATGAAGTGCAACCACTCGACTGAAAATGCATGCCATCAGGTCGATTCTAAGAACAGCGCTCGTGCGACCCTTCAAACAACTAAGCTTCAGTATCAACAATGGACAGCTGAGTGGTGGTCTCATGGGTAGAAGAATAGGAATGCTACTGCTGCCTGAACTAACAGCAACCAGAGCGTCAAAACGTGCTAGAACATGTTTTAGAAGCTTCCGAGGGCATCGTCAAAATTTGGGGTGGTTTGAGCCATTTACGGATTTAATTTTGATGAAACCAGCATAATTTGAAGCGACCTTCCAGTAAATAATCTGTGTTAATAATACTCGATGCTACAGCAAACCACTACCAAGTAGTACCTTGATCGTCATGTAGTTGGGGCACTTGATTAACGCTGTGTGCACACTTCAGCTACTTGTCGAGCTTTTACCTATTTTCTGCTAAAGATTGACTCTTGGAAAAACATGCAATTAACTCGGCTGACGTAAACGAGCGTAGGTAGTCGAGACGACCTCGTCGGAGGTGTCGACAGCGATGTGTGGCTGGCAAGAGGAGAACGAGGAAGGATTTTGCAGCATGGGAGACTTTGGTAGCCTCTCATGTGTCCAAAAAAATTCAAGTACTTACCACCAAGAATCAAGCCTCAGAAATTCAGCGTCAAGCCCCCAGAAACTCGGCATTAAGCCCTCAGGAATAGTGCCCACTATGGCTGATTAGGCAGTGCCTAAGACATGATGCGTATCTAGGCCTGTACAAGGCTAAGCAAAATACAATATGATATTGATTGGACTCTCCAACCTTCCCCAATTAATAATTGGGTTATTTTCTTATTTTCCCCCACTAATGTAGCCACAACTCAAGTGTAGTTAAAAAAGAGTTGAGCATAAAGGCGAGAAGAACAAAAGTGTTTACTGTTAGCTCATGTGGACAGTTTACTTCGGTTACCCATCATCGTACAGCATATCCTACGCTTACCAAAGCATGCCTTAGATTCCATGCACCTGTAATTCAGATACAAACCTCACAAGGGTTCGAAATTTTTGTTTTTAGTATATCGCATTCTATTACAATTGAGCTCGATTTCTGTAAGATTTTCACAGCAAAAGTAAGTTGCAATGGCTTCTTACTATTATATACTTATTAGTGTTTTTAAACTCCTCTTGCACACCATTTGCCGTCATGGGGAAGTGATCATACCAAGCACAAGTTGTATAGATTTCAGCGCCAGACTTCCTATTTTTTATTGCACGAAATTGGTGACGGGGTATCAGTAAGTTATTCCCGTAAGTTACTGCGAGTTATTGTTACGGATATTGGCATTTACCGAGCCCTGGGCCTGTATAGTTAGCAATTAACGTAAGATGAAGATCTCTTCTCCACAGAGCGTTAATAGCCATCTAGAATTCTGCGGAATGCTGGCATGATTAGCAAGTATTATTATAATATTAGCAAAGTCTCAAACCGCCGTTGGGATCTACTGAAACCCCATCCTCCAACTTTCCTCTACGCTTAATGCAACTAGAGTGTTCGTAAGTCGGGGCCCGAGAAGAATGTAGAGAATTTTCATTTGGGTGTGTGAAGAGAAAAACACACACACACAATCATGATACAAGTTAAACGCCTCCCTCTGCAGTGTCCGGAGCGCGTATGCAACTTTTAATGCTGGCGGCCGATCTCGCGTTCTTGAGCCATACACTGCTTCGCCAGTTCCAGGACAATCGGTGGACAAGTATCACTAAATGTTGGTCGAAGATTGCCGCTAGCCACCTGCTGCAAAATAGCCAAGTCGTCGAGTTGGCTGCCATCGTTGTTCAGTGCATCGTCGTACGGACGATTGTGCATGTCGAATTCCGAGAGGAGTACGCCAAACGCGAATATATCCGCTGGCTGGCTGTGATATCTTCTGCCCGATATCAATTCGGGTGCAAGCCATCGATGCATCCCAACTTCAGATCCGCTATCTGGCAGGCTTCGTGTGGCGCCGATGTCGGTGAGTTTAGCTTGCATTTCTGCGGATATCAACACATTGTGTGACTTCAAATTTCGGAGCAGCACAGGTGGAGTGAAGGTGTGAAGGTACACAATCGCTTCGATCACGTCCACTGGAGCTACACCTTGATCCGAGTCCAGTAACGCGACAGCGAGGGCGCTGATCGTATCGATCGGAGGTCACCATTCTCGATGAATTCAAACAACGCTTGCATGTCGAACTCTGAGCTCCAGGCTGCACCTATGAAGGCGACGATATTCGGGTGCTCGAGTTTGGAAGCCAGCTTAACCTTCTCCACGAATGTCTGTGTGTGCTCCGTGATATCGACGTCTTCTTGAATGCGTTTCGAGGCGAGTAGCTGCGAATCGCGATACCTGACGAGCCACACAACGCTGAAGGCTCTACTTCCGAAAAGTCGGAGATCCTGGATGTCGTCATAACTTACTTGAAGAGCTAGAAGTTCGCGGTCCTCCCCAAACGAGCGCTGTTTGCTTGACTTCCTTTGCATATTGTTGAGCAATCCTCTGGGTCTCTTGTTGTTGTGCTGCTTCCAGTGGTAGGCGATGGTGGCGAAGAGAGCACCCAGCACAATGAAACCCACAACGATTGTGAACATGCGCGCATCACTCTACATGTACCAACAGCGATCGAGTTATTCTCCGAGTACGGCGTCCATCTGGCCTGACGCCTGCAGGCGGATCCAGGCGACGCCCACGATGAACGAGAGGAAGGCGGAGAAGATTCCGATCCGGAACTCCATCACCAGCGAGTTGCCACCCAGACAACCAGTGACTTCGCCGTAGAGCGCCGCAAACACACCCATGATGAAGATCGACGCTACACAGAAGGAGCCGGGTACGCGACGGCCCAGTCGTTCAGGACCACAGCAGGCAGCACGCCTACAATTCCACCAGGTCCTGCGAAGCCGTGAATGATCCCCACGAGGAGAGCCATTATCTGCAATGAATGATGTGAGCGTTTGCCAACGGAGCCACATCGGGTACGTAGAGCCACAAGACCTACCTTTTGTGTCGCAGGGTTTTCGAAGCTCATACTCCGACATCAAGTCCAGCTGTGCGGGTGCAGCTTTGAAGCCTTATCTCGCGGGGATACCGCCGTTCCTGTGGCGTCCGCAGCACTCGAAGCCCCGTCCTCTTTAATCTGCAAGTGGAACGGCGAAGACGGCGACGCTGCTTCCATATTCTGCTCCTGTACCGACGAGGTCCTCGGGGACGTCATTGGCATTGCAGAATCTGCGGCACCCGACACTCGTCGCTGCGAGAGCGGCATGAGCTCCACCAAATTGGTCGGCGTGGCGCCAGTGCTGCTCCGACTCGCGCGGTTGCACTCAGCTCGCCCGCTTTCCGCGCTCACGAGCGACTACACGCCCTCCTTCAGCTGCGTCTGGTACTTCTCCCGCACGTGAACTGCCGCCCAAATGCCCAGCGCGGTCATAAAGAAGCCCACGGCGTAGTTGAGGTAGCCGCCCACGGCGTCCAAGTCCACCGTCTGCCCCGCAGCGAAGAAGATGAGCGCAATGACCACGAGCCCAATCGAGTGGCCGCAGCCCCAGCGAATGTCCAGAGCGAACGCCCGCCACGAAGAGCCCGTCGTCATTGCTGCTAGAGCGCTCAAGTGGTCGGGACCTGCGCCAAGTGAGACCATATGCACCAGATTTTAATCTCCCAGATCAAGATTAAAATTGGTCAGCTGCGCTGTATCACATAACTAACTCACCTGTGCGCCCGTGGAGATGATCTTGCTCAGCGACGCGCCCGAGAGGCTGCTGTGCTCCTCACCAGCCACCGACCCGCAGTAGCAAGCTTAGCAGTAGTGTTCACACTTACCCTTACCGGTAAGACTTACCCTAAGCGGGACCTTTTTTTAGGTTACCGGTGATTGGAGTTAGAGATAATAATATCAGAAGGCTCCGGAATAGCGAAGCGTGTGCCCTCCCTCCAATCCTCCGTCCGAACAGTTTGCTCTTTCACTCCTCGTTCTTCATCTTCCAGTTAAGATATCGCAGTCCTTTGTAGAGGTTCTCTTTAGACATACTCATCCGAACGACTTGACTATCATGCGCGTCTGCGCTTGTGAACGAGCGCGAACGATTGTGATTGGTCCATATGATAATGTTGTTTCAGTACTGTTGGTGTACATGTAATAGTTCCAGACTCCTTACCGGTATGTTCATAAATACTGTTGCCTGCTAGCCTATTAGAGCTGGCGGTTCCATCATCTCTGGGGGCGGGGACTGCCTCCGCTCCAGCGCGCGCGCGAGGACGTTGAACTCATCCATTGTTGCCTGGAGCTCGTTTTCGCACGCTGCCAAAATCTCCGACCGTCGGCGCTGCACCTCGCTGGTGACGGCCAGTGTGTCCAAGCGTGCGAGCCCCTGCTCCATTAGCATGTCGCCCAATAGTGCCTCCGTCTGCTTCAGCACCTCGGTGCTTTTAGAGACGGTGTAGGGCACCGCCACGGGGTCGTGCAGATCAAAGGACCGGGCGTATAGATCGTTGGACAGCTCCTCCGCGACCTGCTGCAGCTTGAGCATGTGCGCTTCGTACACTTTTTCCCGTCGCTCAAGCTCCACGATGTGCTCATTGGCGCGCAGAAGCTACCGCGATGCTGTTGGTTAGCGTCTCACTACAGTCCAACAAGAAACCTCCCCCAGAAGCACCGTACCTGTTGAGTCAGCTTCTCGTTGGCGTAGCACTACAGCAACAAAAACCAATTTCTGTCAGCCTGTGGTCGATGAATACGCCGCGCCCACAACGACCTTCAAGATAATATTCGCACCATAGCAGCCAGTCTGCTCTTTGTCAGCAGACTCTCGTTTAGCGCAGCTGGCAACCCTGTAGATCGAGTCAGCATTCGCTCTCGCTTCCACCGACGCTGACGGACACGGGCGCACATCGTTTGCTCGCTGCGGACGCAATCGTTGTGAGGTTCAGGAACTCTTTGGTCTAAGCAATACATGTTGCCTACCTGCGATGCAGTTGACTGGCGTCTCGCAGTTGCTCCCATGTGGGCGTGGATATCGCAGTGCCAATCCGACACCCACTCCCAGTTCGACGACGGTAGCCCCACCTAACGCATGCACCACTAGTCAGCCTTTAGCTACCACAGCATTTGCTGCAAGCACACTACTATAGGCACCTCGCTGAACCGCGCTTCCTGGCCGTCGGCTTGACACAACACGGGCAGCTCCGCCCTGGACAGGCGCATGGCGGAACCCCGCGGCGCCAGGTTTTGGTTCTCGAAGAGCTCCTCCTCCACGCGATGCAGATCCGGGATGTTCTTACGACTGTGGCAGAAGCAGCTCGCACCTCTAGCAGCCGCGAAGTACCGCTGCAATAGCTCTTCCATGGCCTGTAACTCACTGGCAGCGACAATAAACACACGGAGTTAGCCACGATTTCCACGCTATTTCCCACCTAAATCGCACCACAATCCACCTGCGTAGCTGCTCGCACTCGTCCTCCAACTGCTTCTCTCTCTTGCTCATTGTGCGTCAGCGGCGCGGAGATCAGCAGGATTCGCCGAGGCTGGGGGCGCTGCAAGCATTCCTGCTGTATCCGCTTTGACTTGAAGTGAATATGGACCAATCCTGTGTGAGAACGCTTCTTATTCGCTGAAACTGAAGTTCAGCGTAACTACGCCTTTTTACGAAGCAACAAAACCGACCGATACAGAGTCATTCGGAAACTTACTTGCCACAGTCGACCGCAGTCGAGAACAGGAAACGCAGCGCGGAGGAGTGGGGCTTTACTTACCAGGGGTTCTCAAGTGATTACACAATCAGATGACGAGTCTGAGGACGACGAGCGTCTTATTGCATTGCGTTCTGCCGTGCTCCTAGACGTCTCTGACTCCCGATGTGAAGAACATTCGAGGCATTTGTATGATGAGACCGATCCATTGATGTATTAAAAATATTTGTGCTCGCCTAGTCGTTTCTTGCTCAGCTTCAGCCAGTCCCAGCTCGCATGATACGTGAAGCCCCACGCAGGCAGCGCCTGCTCACGGAGATAAGCCATGTAGCGCGGCCGGTTCGTGACCCACACCGCTAGGATGCACTCGTCCGAGTCTGCGAGATGAGGGACATCAATCTTGAGCAGCTCCGTGTGGTCGAACATGTCGTAGCGCTTCGCACGGGAGACGCTCTTGTTTTACCAGGGCGGGTCCATCACAATGAGCTTGTGCCTTCCGAGCGGCAGCCGGTGGATCTCTCGAACATCTCGCTGGGGAAACAAGACCCAACCGGCAGTGGAACCTTGACACCACTCACAATAGATACTCGAACTTGATCCGTGTCGTTACAGTGCAGGTCGCCGTCGTCGAGAGCTTCTGTATCCGACAGTACGGGCAACGAACCCAATACCTTCTGGATGTCGTCACTGGGGTCTTGGAACGCTGGGAGGAAGTCTCGGAGTACGAATCGTGGACCTCCAAAACGCTCAAACGCATTTTGCAGCGCATCCCGGACTTGGTCGCTGAGTGGCACGAACTTGCCCTGTGCTGTGAGCTCCCCCAGTCGCTCCGATCTCCGTCGAGCCGCGGTCTCGCGCTTGCGGTGGCGACGCGCTGCAGCTGCTGACAGCGTCCCCGGAGCTTGGGCGATGGACGGTCGAATGAACGCAGTGGCTGGAATTTGCAGCGAGTCCTCTCGCAAGCACAGGCGCCCCATGTAGTAGCCGTTCACGAGCGCGGCATGGTTGACGCTCGACACCTTGGGCTCCATCCGTGGTGCCAATGAAATTGTTATGTACCATATCGCGACGGTTCCGACATCCCCACATTTTCCGACAAATAGGACTCTTACTTAAAGTATTGACCAAATTTAGGTCCTCTCCGAAATACAACTGCGGTGAAGATGGTAAAGTAAGTGACGGTGTCGAATGGAAGCACATGCGGCTAATACTGCATGTAGTAGAAGATATCAAAGAGTACAAGGATAGCTACATATATTACTGCAGTTCACCTTCTAAGATGCTATCTCGACAATCTTGCCGGTTGTTGCAGCACGCGTAGTCTAACGCTACTCCTGTTCGTCTCATTCGACTTCACCAGCCTCGAACGGGCCCACCAGCGAGGTCATGACGGGCTGTTGCCCTTCGCGGGGCACGTTCACGACCGCGGTGGCCATGGCCTCCATCTTGTCCGGGGCAGCGACGCGCATGGAGGACCCAGCAGGGGTCCGCCCATTTCACCTGCGCTGGTGGACTCCTCGCTGGATGAGCCTGACAGACCGACGCCCCGCTTTTGAGCTTGCCGACGTGGAGCCCTGCGACCACGTGCACCCGTCCACCTTCTTGTCCTTGGGCTTGGTCGGCTCGCCGCCGATCTTATTCACGGTCACGAGGGTCATCTTGCTGACGATCTTGGGGGGCATGGTGCACGAACAGTAGAGCTGGCCGACGTCTCGGAAGTAGCAGCCCTCGACGGAGACGGAGCCCGGGACGTTGTGCGCCGGCCGGCGACCTCGTCGTAGACCGCCACCAGCGCCGTTCACCTGCTGACCTTGTTGCCCTTGGTGCACGGCTCATCCTCGCTTCCCTCACCGGACAGCCTTCTCCAGCTCCTGCTCGCTCTTGATCATCTCGCCCGACACACCACTCTCGCCGATGCAATTGCCTCGCGCACCACCACCTCATTGCTGCCCATCGTGAGCACGCACAACGTCTTCGCGTCGATGGGCAGCGCCCTGCAGTAGCACACGCTTGACGTGCTCCATCCATCCCCGACCGGTGCGCCGCGCGAGACGTCATGCCCCGGGTCCGTCGGATGCGTGCGCGGAGGTGGCGGCACTGTGCAGGAACCGCGCTCCGCGCTCGCCGTCGTGGTCACGATCTCTGGCCGCCGCTGGGTCGAGTGTGGGGGCCTCCTTTCTTGAACATGGTCGCGATTCTTGCAATGAACACCAATCAAAACTCCAGTCCGTCCTATTCTAGGACACATCCTAGCTGTCAGAATGGCGAAAATATTTGCAAAATATTTTCTATACTTGACTTTTGAATAGGCATATACATATTTAGGCCAGCCTTCCGACAAATATTTGTCGGAAAGTGTCGGAATGCATTCACCTAACCCTAACCGATGTCATTGGCTGAAATAGCGACTCCAGGCCATATGATAGGCTGTAATTCAGATGATGACCAGCCTGAAACAATCCTGCTCACTTATCAGTCGGAAAGACCACGATATTCATCCATACACAACTTCAACTTGATGGAGTGATGGCATCCCCAGACCGGCAGAAGCGCGGTCGTGTTCTTCGACATCAATCAGGAGTTTCAGTTAAGTGACATCAATGTACCTCACTGCGAAACGAAACGAAACGACATCAATCAGGAGCAAAGCAGGAGGAAGTTAACATTATTATTGAGCTGTCTTCTTGTTGTTCAACGCCGAAATCCCTGCAATGGCTTCGTTTTCCGCGCGAGGGTAAGGAAAACCCGTGTAGTCATCTCAGTTTCGGCCTGTACCGTACTTCTCCAGGTGCCTGCCTCACTTGCGCGGCTTGAAAGCCACCATTCGCCACTGCGAAGTCCATAGATAATCAAATACAATGCAGAAAAGTCAAACAAGACGTTGATTTGGTTGACGTCACCCGCCAGCTTAGTGCAGGACCAGCCAGTCGTGGATTTAGTTGACGGAGAAGCGCGGGATGGCCACGTATCCCTGACGACGACGCCACGTCGCGACGAGCATGGCAGTGCCGACTGCCGCGAATACGATCATCATGCCCGTCGACAGCAGTCCGCTCGTAGCGGTTCTCGTTGCAGCAATAACCGGGGACCCCTGCCTCACCGCAGCTCGCATGGCAATGGCAGCAACCGCATCGGTCTCGGTCAATTCGTCCAGACAGCCTGTAGACGCCAGCTTGCTGAACCACTTGGCGGACGGAAGCGCGATACGCTGCAAGTCCGTCGGCTTGGGCCTGTAACCTTCCACGGATCCAGTCTGTGCCGTAAAGTTGACGTAGTAGAGCCCGAAGCGAGGACCGTACGACCCCCACTCGTAGTTGTCCAGGAAGCTCCAGGCAGTGTAGCTGATGACGGGGATCTTCTCCTCCACCACGGCCTTGCAGACTTGCTCAATGTACGACTGGAAGAACCACAGCTGGTCCAAGTTCTCCACTTCATCGTTGCCGCACCAGCCGTTCTCCGTTAGCAAGATCTCCGCCGAGGGGTCCTTCGCATGCATCCACTTGATCGTGTCCAAGTACCCGGGAGGGTAGGCCGTGTACGACTTGCAGTAGTTGTTGCCTTGGCTGTCCTGCAGTCCTGGACGGGAGCCTGGTTCTATGTGCGTGTCGTCGACACCCTTGTCCTGTCCGAAGCCGACGTGGAGCGAAGAGCACGGCGTGTTGGACACCTCCGAGTCGCAGGAAGTAACGGAGCGAGCGAAATAGTGGTTTAACATCAGCACGTCGTACGAGACCTTGACTAGAGCGGTCTGCTCGGCCGTGAAGCGAGGCAAACGCTCACCGACTCGCTCGCGCATGACGGGCGGGTAGTCGCCGGAGGTGAGGGGCAGCAGCCACCAGCCAAACTCGAAGTTCATCGCGCGCTCCGCAGCTTCTGCATCTTCAATGTTGTTCTCCCGAAGAGGGTGGAACTGATTGGCATTGAGTACGATACCCATGCGCTTTCGGCTGGACAACACCACTCGATTGAGCTCCCTGAACCGTTGCACGGAGTACGCGTGTGACAGGAGCACACTGTGCGCCACCTCGTAAACCAGCGTGGGCGAGTCGTGGAATCCTGGCGGGCAGACTTGGCCCCACCTGAGCCCTCGAAGTCTATCTATCCACCTGCCGTCGCCGAAAGTGTTCAACTCGCGGTCAGACTTTCCATTCTGCGTGCCTCGTCGCTACCCGGCAGACAATTTGACCCCCATCCCGAGGCTCGTGTGAAGAAGCATCAGGTTCTGAGACTGCGAATCAAGCGAGCAAACGCGCGTAACTGGTTTCGGGTAGAGCTGAAAGGCGAGCGAGACACGGACCACACGAAACCGCAGCGCCAACGCCTTCGTCTAGTTGGGGGCTGAAACGGGGGGATCAAGCGATCACCAGTCGGCACTCTTGCAATCGCCTCGTACCACACAGGCAGGACCACCATGAATGGCTCGATGAGCTCATTGACAGCGACCATCACGTCGGCCTTGGCGCTCAAGGCGTTCACGGTCTACATCTAGCGGGTTGAAGACACCAAGACGCAGAGGAGCCGGCACATCCGTCGCTGCTTCTCCGAGTTCTGCGAGCTGCGCGAGAAGCTCCTCGCACTCATCGACGACGAGATGGCCACGTACCTCACCAGCCCGGACATGGACAACATCGAGAGCAGCTTCAACACCAGGTCCAACGTCAGCTTGAGTGCCAGCGCTAGCTCCAGTGTCAGCACTTGTACCAGTATCCCTAGCTGCGCCGGGTGACATCGCTCCTCGTCGAGCAGGTTTGACGTTGTTGCAGTCCACACTTCGTGACGGAGCGACGCGCGGGGCTGCAACGCGGTGGCTTCCAAACTCGAGGAACGTCTCGATGTGGGTCATCATGTTGAAAGCAAATGGCGATGAGTTGGCGCTGGCGAACGACTTCGACGACCTCCAGAGCATGCTGCAAGAAGCGGTTGAGCGCCAGAGATCGCGCCTCAATCACACGCTTGGAGCGTGAGCCAAGCAGTTTTCGCGGCGGGAACTGCTTGAACACGAAGGCGAAGCGGTCGGACGTCGGCGTCTGGCGATGCCTTCCGCGGTGCGAGTTAGGACGTCGGCTGCTGCTTCGCTGACTCCGGGATTCCACCACTACCCGTTGGACCAACTCCAGCCTTCGCGATGACG